CCCCCCCCCGCATCCCCCTTCTGTTCTGAAATGTGATTTGTCCTTTTCATATGTGTTCACTTTTTTTTAATTGTATCCTTTGGTATATATGGTTGTGACTATTTTCTTCCACTATTTGATCTGAGGAAGTGGGTCTGGCCCACAAAAGCTCATCATCTAATAAACCATCTTGTTAGTCTTTAAAGTGCTACATAGTCCTGCATTTTGTTTTATTTTTCTCTGTAGCTCCTGGCACAGAGCAGAAGAAATAAAAGAGAAAGCATAAAACTTGGCATGTTCTTTGCTGAACTGATTCAGACTTTAACATAAATAGAATTTTACCTGTCTCAAGTAAATCTCAAGTGCACTCATTGGAAGTAGTGATTAAACTAGCAGGGAATATATAATGATGTAAAATATTTCCTGGTTCTCAAAACTTAACAAACCCTTGTTTTGCTTCTGTTTTGATGTTAATTAGCAACAGAGCATATGATCTGATTCTGTCTCTGTTTAAATCAGTGGGAATTGCCATTGCATTCAATGTTTGTTCCTCAGCAAGGGAATACTTGAGTAGGACGTTTTAAAGATTATATTTGTATATTTGACACAATTCTGACTTTCAGTCTGAAGTTTGTTTGCTTGCTTTTCAGGCATGGTCCTTTGTGAAATAACTTACCCATAGCAAAATACGCATACACAATGGCTACGTCTACACTGGCATGATTTTCCGGAAATGCTTTTAACGGAAAAGTTTTCCGTTAAAAGTATTTTCGGAAAAGAGCATCTAGATTGGCAGGATGCTTTTCCGCAAAAGCATTTTTTGCGGAAAAGCGTCCATGGCCAATCTAGATGCGCTTTTCCGCAAAAAAGCCCTGATCGCCATTTTCGCGATCAGGGCTTTTTTGCGGAAAAGCGCATCTAGATTGGCCATGGACGCTTTTCCGCAAAAAATGCTTTTGCGGAAAAGCATCCTGCCAATCTAGATGCTCTTTTCCGAAAATACTTTTAACGGAAAACTTTTCCGTTAAAAGCATTTCCGGAAAATCATGCCAGTGTAGACGTAGCCATTGTGTATGCGTATTTTGCTATGGGGGTGGAGCCAGGAAGTATTCCTGTGTTCATTGACTGGTTCAGATCTGTTACACTGTCTGACTGATGCGTGTTGCTTTTGTGAAGTTCAGCACGTGTTTAACCAATCTAATTGATGGTCTGATCCTGTAAATGTGATGGTCCCAAGCCCTACATGAAGTCTGAGAGTTGGGGGTCCTCAGCACTACTCAGGGGATGCTTAGCAACTTGTGGGACCAAACTCAGATCAGAATTTGGCCTTTGAGTTAAATGAGAGCCCAGATTTTTGGACCATTCTTAGACATGATAGTTGGAAGACCATCTCAAAAATGATTGCCTGTTTATTTTGAAATCTTTTGTGATAGATGTGACATTTCACTCAACCTAGATGAGAGAAAATGCCATATTTGGCAAACTGAATTGTTCTGAATAGCATTACTTTTAATTGGAAATTTGGAGTCTTTGTAAAAGAAACATATTTACCTAATTTAATATTATATTCTAGTTGAATTGAGTCAAGAGGCACAAAATAGGCTAATTAGCATGTAGTGCACTCTCTTACCTTTAAGCTATAATGCTCAGAGATGAGAGACAGGCATATTTTTAATGAGCTTACAGAAAAGTAAGACGTGAAAAGAAAGAGTCTTAATCTCCGTTTCCAGGTACATTGTGGTAGTTTTGAAAGCCAACAATCAACATGAAATTTCTGCTGGAAGCTTTAAAAAAGAAGAGAAGGGTGAAAACAAACATTGATAAAGAGAAAATTGAATAAATTGCTAAACAGTTATGTCATGCTAACAATTGTTCTGACTTGTTTATTTCTAATCTTAGACCGTGTACATAAGAATTCATAATGCTTGCTGCATTAAGGAGAGTTCACCCCAATAGATACTGAAATGTGTCTTCTGGAAATCTTTGATCTGTGTACAAATATAGTGTATTACTCATCCGCTGTTCTTTGAAGAGTATCATCTCTATCACTTATCAGAAATGCCCAGGAGCTGCTTCCTTGGCCCCCTTTCACTGTAAAAAGGAAGTACAGACAAGAGAGCGTTAGCCTAGCAGTCCCTTTTATTTAAACAAGAATTGATTGAATCAGTGTTATGTTGCTATTCTCTTCATCAAACCCTGCTGTCTAAACATATTAGTCAATCCTAAGGCTCAATGCAATTCTGAGGGGTCTGTAAAAAGAATCATTAGAATAATTGCATATGTAGAAATGGACCAGAATGTGTAACTGGATTTGCACACTCAAAAGTTATGAGATGCTGTGATTTGATTGTGAATCTTAGGGGTTCTCATAATTCTGGCTTAATGTTAACTAGATAGTGCCCCTCAAATGTCTCTCTAACGAGAAGAAACCAAAAAAGAAGTCAGTAGCATACTGAATTTGGCTTCTATTGTTTCTTAGTCTATTATTTTCACATGTATTTAATTAAATCTGTACCAAGATGCTATATTTCACATGGGCTGTTCTGTCTCTCTTCACCTTTGCTCTGCCCCATTACACTGCTAGTCTTCATAGTTTTCAATTAACAGTAAGATTAGAGCATAGATTTTCAATCTAACAGAGTAAGTGGAACATATAGTGAAGTAATATTTAGTGATCTAGAGCATGATTCTGATCTCCACTTTACTCGAGTAAATCAGGAGTACTTCTGAAGTCAGTGGAGTTATGTGGGTATAAACTTAGCAGGAAGCCTCATTTGCTTTGCTGAGGCTTTTTATGATTTCTTAGGAAACTGTTTTTGGTTTGCGTCATAGGATTTTGAGGATTAAGTATGTTCAGTAGAAAAGTTGTCATTGTTTTAATATACAAATAAAGAGCCCATAATTTGAGTGAGTAATTAGCCTGGTCTCACAGTAAGGGATGAATGCGTACACATTCTCCATTGCTAATTGGTGGGAGTTTAAAAGTCAGATTAGATAAATTGATGTACGTCTTATTGACAAACTGCTGGCTACCAAAAGAAATAGTGCATTTAATTCTCTAAATTTGGCAGAGAGTTGTAAATAAGGAATTAACTTGTTAAAGGCACTCTCCAGCATTCCTCATGGCCTTTAGTTCAAGGAGTTCTAAACTTTGTTCAGGTAAGCTCTTTGGTAACAAAAGGTGAGAGAATCCACCACATGTATGGAATTAGCGCAAGTAATTTCACCTTCTGGGTTGTTGTTGTTGTTGTTGTTGTTAAAGATATGCCTGATGCCCAATCCCAAATTCTAGCTCAGAAACTCCAACTCCATACTTAAAATCAGGGAAGAATCAATTCTGGATCCCTGTTTGCAATTTAGTCTCATCTCTAGTGAGCCTCATAAATCCCTTGAATATCAGTGAGAGTAAAAAAAGTGTTCCTTTATGAATTTTAGTTCTAAAGTGTCATTGTTATGTGTACAAAATTTTAAAATATAGTGAAAATTAAAATGGTTTAGTTATAGCAAAATGAGCAGGAGCAAGCAGGTTATTATGATCTTTCTAATTAAGCAATAAAATACAATTAGCTGCAATTTCTATGCAGTTACAGTAAGTGGCCTTGGATGATTATTTTAACCACTCTAGAAATGCAATAATCACCTGTAATTGAGTGGCATTTTTCTAATAGGAAATGGATTTTATTAATAAAGTAAGGGAAACCCTTCAGGTCAGTTATCAAATTTCTGAAGCCATTCATAAAATTCAACAACATATCTGTTTGTTATAATCTGTGTTCAATGTGCTTTTGTATAATCTCATATGTTTTTGCGCCTGAATTTGCTCTTATGGGTGTGTAACTATAGAATAACCTAGTTAATATTCACTGTGCTAATCACTACTTCTCCACAGCATAACCAAAGCAGCCAGTAGGCTGAACAAAGTTGTTACCTGACAATTGTATCAAACGGCTACTACATGGAGGACTAAACCTATTAACTAAATGCCAAAATGAAAGATTTGAGAAGAAAGAGGGAAGCATCAGTTAGGCGCCACAGCCTGGTGAGAAATCTGTTTTCCACCTCCAGCTACTTGGAAGGGAGAGGCTGCTGGGTGTTTTATCAGGGTGTTGCCTTGATCCTATTCTGATCTTTCTTGGGTTTCTGGCTACTGCATGTAAGATGCATTTAAAACTCCGTTTCTTCTCTGGATGCTAGAAAGGAGTTTTCTTTCCATGCATCTACAAAGCTCCACTATCCTCCCGCTCCTGCTGCCACCACATTGCTGACTACTGCACTCCATTAACCAATTCTTTTTTGCATGGTCCTCTCAAAGAGTAACTGCTTGCCTCTGCTGCTGTTCAGAGCTTTCCCAAACATCAGCAGGATCATAGTGAAATTCTTGTCAGTCTTTCTGCTTCCAGTAGCACTGAAACTATTTTTAGGGGGGATGCTGAGCTGTGGCCCCCACAACTGTTTCCATCCCTCACTACCCTTGGCTCGGGTCACACCTAGAGTTGCCAGCTCCACCAGACTGGACAGAAAATTTCTTTCTAGCCACAGTTGGAGCAGCTACAGAGCCCCAGGCCAGCAGCAGGACCCTGAGCAGCAGTGGAGCCTCCAGGACTAGTGGTCTGAACCCTGGGGAATGGCAGGCAGTTG